CGTAGATGAATAATAGAGGAGGAGCGTGCAGAGTGAAAAAACAAAACAAAAAAACAAGCGTCTGTTTGCCCGTGAGTCGACACAGGCAAGTGAGTGTATTTTAAAATGTAAAAATTAGTCACAAAGACACACAGAAGTGGGCGCACCACTTGCTGATTATCGTTAAGCATATTGTTTTCCTATTATTCCCCTGGATGAGCAATAAATAAACCAAACTGAAAACTAGACCAAGCTGAAAAAACGGAAAAAGCCTAATAAATCCCAGTTGTAGGCCGTGCAATGAAAAGCAGAAGCGTGCATCGTTCTTCCTCTCTTTCGCGTTAATCATCGCCCAATCCCTTGTTTGTATCTCAAGACCCGAGAATCCGCAGCAATTCTCCCATTTTTTCATCAGCGCCTCGTTTCTCTACCTGACGCACAGATTAAGCAGAGTCTGGTGCAGGTTTGTGTGAACGCCGGCTCTCTTGTCTTTCACGACGAGCTGCGTTTGGCTTACAAACGCTTCCCGACCAATAAGTGGCGTGACTCAGTGAAACTACAAGAGATCAAAGATCAAGTTCCTCTTCGTTTTCATTCTGCAGGATCGTCACTGTCTCCCAGAATGACTCGGAGGACCGTTGCATAGTTAGATTCCCGATAACGCAGACTTTGACATTCACAGAAACTGAAATCTATCTCTTTTCACACATTTTCATCTCGTTCTCCACAAACGCTGCCTCCAACCCTCAGCCGGTCCGATCTCCCGTCATGTGCCACCTCTGAAACCACTTTCTGAACAAACTCCGAGCATTTTGTTGTGTTTCCACCTTTGCTGCTGAAAGAATGACGGATGGCGGTGTCTCCTTTCTGGAGGGGACGGCCGTTATTCACCGCACGACAGATCACCTGTCAGCAAACCGTAAACAGAGGTTGCCTCAAAACGTTTTGAACAAACGCCACGGCGGCGTCATTTTCCCCCCGTGGAGGGCCGTCTCCTCTCATCCCGCCATCCGTTGTCATCTCAATCATCCATTTATCAAAGTGTGCAATGTGCTCACGAGCCACGCAAACAGCCCAAACACAAATTGGCAAATATCCTGTGTGTAATCACACCCAACGGCGGAACAAAAGAGCCAAAACGAAAAAGAAAAAAGGCAAGAGCGAGGGAGGGAAGGATTGTTTAGAAATAGGAGACGCTTGTGTGCAGTGCAGAAGTGAAAATTGGAGAAGTCTGTCGACGGCTGCCAGTGAGACGGGCTTTAATTTGCTTATTTGTAGCTGTCACTTGTGCTCTTGTGTGCCCAGTGATCCAGGCCAAGTGACAGGTGGAGGTTTTCACCCCCCCTGTATATTGGCGTTCAGTAACCTGGACGACTGCCACTCATGCTTCAATCATTTTTATTCCTCCTCCTCCACCTCCTCCTCCTCTTCTGCCTCTCGCTCACCGATTTGCCTCACTCTCTCTCTCGCTCTCTCTCTTATTCAGTCTAATGCAGATGTTTGTTCTACCTGCAGAACGCATCAAATAAACAGTCGCCGGAGCTTTGCAATGTTTTCTCAAGAGATATTTAACTTTCCAGTTCAACAGGTTGATTTGAATTCATGTGGCGCTGCTTGTATTTACAGACAGAAGTACAACAGAACGCAGCTCTTCTGTCCTGCTTGTCCTCTCTTTCCTTTACGTTCATTCACATCATCCTGTCTTTTCTTTCACTTATCTCCTCCCCTTTAGATTCCTTGCTTTCTGTCCTCTCCTCTTCCTCCATCCTCTTCTCCTCTCCTGTCCTTGCACAGTTTCCTCTCCTCCTGTCGTTTCTTCCTAGTTCTTCTCTCCTCTCCTCTCCTCTCCTCCACCTTCTCTTCTCTCTTTTCCAATCCTCAAACCTCAATCCTCCTCTCCCCTCCTCATACCCCCCCCCCCTTATACCTCCCTCCGCCCTCCTTTTGTGTCCTCTCAATTCTTCTCCTCACGCCTTCCTCCATCCTCCTCTCCTCACACCTCCTTCTGTCCTCGTCTCTCCTCTCTTCGTACACCTTTCTGGTTTTCGGTTCCTTCCCTTCTCTCCTCTTCATTTCCTCCTTGTTTTTCTCTCCTCTCCTCTCTGGGGAGGATTAGGACAGAGTCCTTTTCATCCTGCTGTAATCCTACACTGGCAACCCAACTCCAACAAGAATAAACACACACACGGACATGCACTCTAACACACACACACACACACTTTGCTGCGTGATATGTATATCTCCATATACTGTATGTTCTGGGAGCTTTGCCCAAATAGGACCTTTCACTTATATGACCACATAGCTCGTAGCTCCATGTGGAAAAATAACATCAGGGAGGATTTTGAAAAAGATTTTTCAATAAATGTTCAGCTCAGCTTCTTCCTCCACTCCCAGAAAAGCTCTTAAGAGAGAGAGAGAGAGACATAAGGAATGATTGGGAGAGAAAGAGACGTAAGGTTTATCTACCTCCCAGCCCGTCTCCGTCATCTCCCTCGAGGTGGGGCCTTGCCGGGACTCTGTCAGCTGAGCTTCTCCCCCCTGCTGAGGCCTACAATGGCAGATTGGCAGCCCTAATACCACGGCTCGCTTTATCTGGCTGAATTAAAACCCAACTGGAGAAGGGTTATGGGAATTGTTGGCTCGGGGAGAGCTTTTATTTATTTATTTATTTTTTCTTTCTCAGGAATTACGTGTGTGGGCGCATTTTAGGAAAAAAAAAATGTAATCAGAGGGATGTAAGCTCAAGGGGTATCAGTCAGGATTAAACACAGAACTAATACAGCTTGATGCAGAGCTGTTGTTAGCCCTTTATTAAGATGGATGGGTGTTTGTTTTTAAAAGGATGGGGGCGTGTGTGTTTGTGTGTGTTTGTGTGTTTTTGTGTGTGTTTTTGTGTGCGTGTGTGTGTGTGTGTGGGTGCTGACAGGAAGTGCTCGTGAGGCGAGCAGGATACGCAGGAAGTGTTTGGCTTGGCTCAGCTGGCAGTTAGGTTGTTGCTCAGGAGGATTGCCGATGCAGGGAGGAAGATGCAAAGATCCCCCCCCCCCATCCCAATTTTGTCGTAACACATTCACACAGAATCAGATTCCTGTAAATTCAGCCGGGACGGAGACAGAGCAGTCCAGGAAAATCACTCTGGACTCCCAGGCTGTGGGTTAATTGAGGCATCCATCAGTTTTTATTCCACCACGCGGAAACAGAGAGGAACCTGGTCGCTTATGACACGAGGGAGTGTGATAGACAAGCGCTCATTGGTTACATAACTAGTCCATGTCCCCGCTGCGGAAAGAGCAGAGTTGTATCGTGTCAGAAAAGGACAGGGTATGAAAGGAGGGTATGTCGGGACAACAGACAGACGGGGTGAGGATAAGCTGTTCCATATCACCTGCTGGGGTGGGGGTGTATATATCATTTTATATACAATTCAAATCTGAAGATTGAAATAAAAACATGGGAATGTCTTTATATTTACTGAAGCATGTCAGTATCCATCACTTTGAGGTGAAATTCCTGCTGTAGGCAGAAGAAGAATTAAACTGCAGCTGTATTTTCATTATTGATTCATCTGCTAAATATAAACTCAATTAATCCCAGAGTCCAAAATGATGCTTTCAATTCCAAAGAAATTCACTTTGCTTGAATCGTGGGCAGTGAAAAGTTTTTCCCTTGAAATTTAAAAAACAGTTGCTGATTCATTTTGCGTCACTCAGCAAATCTTTCTGCTCGATTAGTGACTAAATGAATTCTCAAACGATATCTACATTGTTCGAGAGGCAAGTAAAGCGTCTTTATGTGAAGCCCAAAGTCACAAGATCGTCTCAGTGGGTTTATCGGATTAGTTTGTTACATCCTCCGATAGACACTAATAATGGAGCAAATTCTGGGTAGAAATTAAACTGCAGATGTGTCCCTCCTCCGTGATGAACAGATAAGAAAGAAGAGGGACAGAGAAAGACAAGACTGATCAGAAATGAAGAGGAAGAGAGAGTGAGAGTCGCTGCTGAAAGATAATATATCATATATAATCATTTTAATTTCAATCAAATTACAAAACATAATACAAATATTGCACGTTCTAAAAATACGTAAACATTTAATGTATCAGTAAAATGTACAGTTTTTTTTTTGCACCAATATCAAATCTTGCACAACAATGTCCATTTGTTTGTTGAGACTCTAAATTTGGGAAAAGCTCGAGGTCTGGTTCAAAACAGACTTCACACACAACCAGTTTTTTTTTTTTGTCCCTACATCTGACAAAAACCACAATCTTCCCCTAATCTTCACCAAAGCTCTTTTGTTGCCTGAACCTCACCGCAGATGGGACCCTGGATGCGAACCGAGGTCCGTGGTGTGACTGTTGTGCGTTTTTGTGCAGTCATCGCCCGCCCCAGCCTCCTTCCAGCGACTCTTCTGCTGTTAATAAACGTGGCGCTGCGTTCATTCGAAAAACATGTTGCGTCTGAACTCCATCCAGGCAGCGATTATATTTCCTCCAAAACAGATTGTGCTGCTGCAGTTCAGCTGTAGAGAAAAAACGTCACTTCGAGGCGACATGGCTGCTGCCATGCATTATGGATGCACACCCTGTCCTCACTGATCCCTGAAGGGAACCGCTCGTGAAGAGGTGGACTCTTCAGTTTGAGGGACAGACCCACTCCACCGTGCGACGATAATAAGCCTCCGTCGACTCTCGTGTTACTTTCTTTCCCACAAGAGCCATCATCGGATTTTAATAGTCTCGAGCGTTTTTGCTGAATTGACCAGTTTGCTGGATCGTGCTCAGATTCAACAACTGTTTTCACACTTCACCAGATGTGCTGAGTCCTCGGTGCCAGCGACGGCTCAGCAGAAAACTTAAATTATTGTGTGAAAATGTTTCTGAATATTGAAATATGTACATGAGGAACAGGGATTTATGGGGTTCTGACAGAAATGTTTCACAAAGACAGTTTCCATTTTTAATCGCTTTCATTCTAAAAGTCCGTCCTCTCCTCTTTCGTTTTTCCTGAACAGACTCTTCAGGCCAGATGACCTCCTCGCCCCTGGGCTCCCCCACATCCCACCGAGGAATGCACCCGTCTCTGCTCAGCCCGACGTCCATGGGGCCCTCCGGCTCTCTGCACTCTCCCATCAGCACGCTGAGTTCACCCATGAACGGCATGGCCTCGCCCTTCTCCGTCATCAGCTCGCCCATGGGCCCTCACTCGATGAACTCGCCGGGCATGGGCTACGGCCCCAGCGTCAGCCCCCAGGTGAGGCCCGTAACAGATTGTCACACACACACACACACACACTCACACATGCTTGCAGGTGCATGATCACATAGTGACAGTAGGAGGAAATATTGCGTCTTCAAGGTCACTTACTCCCTTGAACGCGGAGCATAACATTAAATATATCACATGAATGCATAAATATTCTCTTTTTCAAAGAGTACATGCATCTCACACACATCCACAGCCATGTGTGAGCATGCACATGMAGAAACAGCAGGTATATGTTCGTTGTAGCAGAGGCTTTAAACGTTATTTAATTCAGTTTGTGCCACCATTTGTGAAAAGCTGCCGAGGGTTTACTGTCACAACAAACTCTGGAATGATCTTAGTGACGTCCAGGCAGTGAGGTACACAGAGTTGAATGTAGGTAAAACAAAGCACTGATCTGGGAGCTGCTGGTAGACATCCTGTTCTGAGTCAGGAGGGAAACATGCAGTGACTGGTGCTGTCCAAAGTCCGTTTTCAGCTTCTAATCCAAGATACGCTAAAGAAAGATGTTTTCCAGATGACATTATGGGCTCAGCATCATACGCTCACTTGTTTTGCAGACGGGGAATGAACGTTGCTTTGTACAGAAGAACATGTTAGCTTGAAGTTAGCGGCCAGTATTCACAAAATACAACCTAATACATTTGATTTAAATTGTAGAGTAAACGTTTTCATATTAATGCCTAACGGCAAAAATAAATACTACATCGATATTATCTTTCTGTCCCATTCAGAAACAGAAACCTTTATTTTCAGCAGCCTGCACCGCAGTCACGTGAGATGTCTCTGTGTGTTTACTCCGAACTTACTATAAACTAACCGCACACGCTGCTGTGTATCACGTCTTCTATTCATTTGTCTCCGAAGTGCAACACACACTCGCACAGAGACACATAATCGTCCAAAGCCCGGCCCCAGCGCACTGAGGCCCTGCGTTGACCCCGTGCCACAGTTAATCAAAGCCTATTCAGCTGGGATTCCACAGCACTTCAGCTCTGTCACTCTTTCGTCTGTAACTGCAGCGTACTGGTCGCTCTCCGCAGCCCTATCTCACTTCCTTCTCCCTTCGTCCCTCCATTCTCTCTCCCCTCTGTCTTCTGTCCTCTTAATTTCCCTCCATTCTTTTATTCCTTCTCCCGTTCACATCGTCTCCAGTTGCTCTCCCTCTATCTCTGTTGTTTTTGCTCCATCAATAAGCCTCAGTTTCTTCTCCTGCATTCACACACACACACAATTAAGACATCAAAGCCGGCAGTGGCCCAGTTTCCATCTGAAACCATATCTAAAATTGAAATTGCCCCCCCCCCACTTCCCAAAACGCAGCAGCTGCCCTTTTTTTTTTTTTGTGTGTGTTTGTTAATAATTGTGTTAAAGTGCGTCGGCAATGCGATGTTGTTTGGAACGGGCTCTCCTCGCTATTGTTGGGCTTATCGCCGCCTTCTAAATGAAAGTGTCCCACATGTAATAGAGTTAAGAGTGGATTAGGGCCACTTTCAGGAAGCGGCCAGAATCTTTCGTTGCTAGAAAGCTCTCCCCTCTTTCTCTCTCTCTCTCTCTCTCTCTCGTTCTGATTCTCTTTCACGTTTTTTAAATTCCCACACTTTTCCCGTTGTGTCTGTTCCGGAGCGAAAGGCTGGATGTTTACGTAGCAGACGTTACAGAACACAAAGTGATGCCATGCATTACTTTATTTTATCGGTAACTCTACTTCCTGTTTCTCTATTTAGCATTTACAAGTACCAGTAAGCAGGACGCGAGTCTATAAATCTATGATTCTGGTCGTGAATTACAATAAAATAAGAACTTCTTCTTTGACACTTCTGCTTTTGTTGCCCACAACTTTATTTATACTGTATCCAGCTCCACTCATTTGATGGTTTGAGCCGTTACCCATGAACACTTGCATAACTGAAACTGTGGACACTGCCGCTACTCTGCGAGGGTGGAGAACAGTTGTTAGTTTAAAGATGGCGGCCGCCTCCTGCGTGAGGTGTGAAGCTTTTGATGAGACGTGATTTAAGTCAGACGGCGTTTGTCGCTTGCTCTTAACACTCGGCCGAGTTGCCGTTTTCAAGATCAGTTGACTGGAACGAGGTCACAGCTCAGCCTCTTCCTCTACTTAGCCACACACACACACACACACACACACACACACACACACACACTTCACTGTACCTCAGTACGGTGACAATACAGACCTTGAATCCTTCCTAATGATCTTACAGTGTCGTAAAAGAAAGAAAATAACACCACAGTTGTGGTGTCTTTCTTTTTCCACTTCTTTCTCAGTCCCTCTCATCACAGCCTTGTTTACCATCAACTACAATCAGCGTCTTCTCAGAGACAATAAAATCCAGGTGAAAATTTGGCCTCAGAGGAAAAAGTCAATCAAAAGCATGTAAATAAGAATTTAGGATAAAAACCAAGAACAATGAGGATTACTCCTCCTCTACATCAAAGACGACAGTGACAAGTTGATGAAAGCCGGGGACGGGATGAACAAAAGTCCCATTCTTGCGGGAGTCTTGCGTCCTCCGAAAGCCAAAACCACATGTGAAGACAGAGACGGTCCTTTATCATCAGCCAATCCTTACATCTCCAACTGCAGTACTTCCCCTTCAGTCCTGCCCCAAACATACAGACACACTGACTGCGCTTTTTCTTTCTATTATTTTCCAGCGAGAGTTTTTTTTGTTTGCCGCCTCTGTTTGGTGCATCCCAGTTATCTTCTGTGCGTATTGTTTCAGATCAGAACAGCATGTGCATTGATCTGAGGGCCACACACACCGTCAACAAACATACTTTGACGCCAAGAATTTGTCCCTGACGTGAAATGCAAACATATATTTGCTTTTGTTTTTTAGTTATATGAGGTCAGTGATGGCGAGACGTGTCCCCAGGGTACGTGATCCGGGGCCAGTGCCAGGCCACGGCCATTCCCATTAGCATCAGACCCGTCGGTGGTCGTGTCTGCGGGTTTGAACTCGCAGACAATTCGGACCATCCCTACGATCACAGACACCGCAACTCTCCGAGCAGCTGGAAGAGATTATACTCCGGGTTTTACACTTCCAATGACAATGGTGAGACTTGTCTGGCTGTTGTTCTTCACGGAAAAGAGGCGGGAGGCGGGTGGGGGGTGGGGGGTTTCCTTTATCGTCGGACCACTGCCGACTCGCATTTTCCATTTAGCGGCTCGGTCTGTAACCGTCTGGCTTCCGCGCTCTCCCAACAAAAAACCTCCCTGAGAATCCTAAACCAACAACAGGCCTCCAGTGTCTCTCAGTTTGGCTTGAAAATACATATAAAGCACGAAAAGGGTGTTTTTGGACTCGGACACTAATACGAAAAAGGTGTAAATGTTTTACAAGAAATGGAACACACTCTAAATACGTTGTAAATGAGCGGTGGCGCTGATGTCATGCGCCGGGTTTGGGTACGCCGTGTTTAGGTTAGGGTCGCCTGGAGACCGAAACACAACGTGCACACACATATAGGAGAAACAGAGAGAGAGAGAGAGAGAGAGAGAGAGAGAGTTAGAGAGAGTGGTGGACCTCAGGCCTGTTTTCCTGTGTGGGAGTAATAAAGGTCCATTCCGCTGCTCTGGTCTTTGATGGACCTCGCTGTAGTCACTTTGCATGACATCATCGTTGCATGGCTCTAATGGCTGCACAAAGAGGCAGTGTGTGTGTGTGGAGTCCCAGGGGAACAGTTAAGGCTCTCTAACGTCAATCAACCCTCAAATGGATGAGGGGGGGGAGGGGGGGGGGGGGGGGGGAAGAATTTTTTTCTCCAGGTAGCAATTACAAGCCGTTTTCCCCCTGCACTGGTAGTTCAAGGAAGTGTAACTAATGTGTAGAATTAATTAAGTTGTGCCTCACTGCAAGTTTTCGTACACAAGTCTTCAGGTCTTGTGAAGAAAACCTCAATATTCTTACAGCCAGGACTTTATATCAAACTAATCCTGTTACTTACAAGTATTTTAGAAAGAAGTTTCATATTCAAACCTCCTCTGCAGTGAAGGCTTTTATTTCTGGATATCCAGGCTCCAAGACTGATTTCTTTTATCCCACGAGCCGAATGTTTTTTCAACGCAAAACACAAACAGTGATGTAGGTGTTTTAGGTCCAGGCGTTATTAACATCTGGAGCCTGGTGATTGGTCGAACTCAAAAAGGAAACCAGATATTCACATGAACTGTAAAATATGAGGAATTTACTATTCAACTTGTTTCCTTTCAGACCACCTCAGACAGACATACCTCAGGCCATCATTTGAGAAGTGACAGTACATAACATGATCACACTGGGGCCTGTGTGTGTTCTGCCCTGTGTGGGGCCACACAGGAGACAAGCCATTTAGGAGGTGGCAGCTATAAGGGATAGAAACGGCAACATTAGCTTTAAGTTTCAGAAAGCAGCCCCCTAATGCAGACTGGAGACGCTGTGGTTTGAATGCCTCCGGGACGCACATTTATTTTAAAGCTTCAAATAATCCCTTTGGGGTTTTAATGGCATCTGGTGGTGTGATCTTACAGCAACTCAACACTGTCTGTGGACAGACATGTACGCCGTGGCATGTCTGTGAAGTGTAATGACGGCTCTCTGTGTGACTAATTCCATTCTTTTTTTCACTCGTTACACACCTGTAAAATTTCTGTGGCTCGGTGCAGAAAGTAGTTACCGACTCTCTCAGCTCGATTCGTCACGCAGTGAAAGCAAAACCCGACAACAAAAGAAAAAAAGCCCTGTGCTGAGAGGATAAAGGAGGCAAACGCTGGTCAAACAGCATTTCCCAAAAAAACTGAAGAAAAAAAAAACATTGTTGTAACTTGCTGAGACTCGAGGCGCTTCAGGGTTCGCCACATTATTTTTTTTTTACCTTCATGCGGTGACTGACAGCTGTCGTGTTGTGCTGGAAGGTTAAAGATGGAACTGTTGGTGACTGATGTGTGTTAATAGATGAATATCAGCCTGAGCTCAAAGCAA